AATAATAATAATAATAATAATAATAATAATAATTTTATAATATAACATTTACGGATATCATAAAAATGGGAGTGAGAGACAACTATAACTGAAATCGGCAATTACTTAGTTGCCAACCCAATAAAATAGAAATACTCTGGATCAGGAAACATGTTCTGGATTTCGTCTGAAAATATCTTCGAGTGCAAAGGGTTCCAATATTTTGGTATGTTTGAATTAGTTGAAGAACGTCAAGCCAAGTAACTACAGTGTATCGACAAAATTGTTGTTATAGACTCAGATAAAAAAAGTTGAAGGAACATCATTTTTTGATATCTTTATCGTTCGAACAAATTGCAATTTGCGAAAACAATTTTTTAGCCATTGCCTAGGAAACGCATCGCTTGAATATCTGGAAAAAAAGTTTGGATCGCTTGACGGAATCATAAAAAAGTTATTCCGCTGTAAAAGGTGTACGGAAGCCTTCTTGGCCCGCTTGTTCTATGTCTCATTTCAGATCTGCGATAAGGTCGATGTACAACAAACCGGCAATTCTACCTGTTCCATCCCGAATCGCTGTTAGAATCTCTGCGAGAAAAGTCGACAGGCCTATCGTGTCTCCGTCGTAACCGTCTTCGTTCGTTCGTTTTTCATCCTCTAAATTGGTCGGTTGCCGACTAGCAACTACGGTTGCTCGTTTCATGGAACGAGTGACATAACTAGGTTTCGCCGATCCGCCGTGGTTATAGAAGATCGCGTTTCGAAGCTCCATAGCGACCCGACCGAGCTTCCGGCGACGTAAACTAAAAATGCCACGTGGTGGTTAACCGGGGGCCTCGAAAGGAAGCGAAAGTGGAGGGGCAAGGATAAGAGATTATTACCGAGGATAAACTGTCTGAAACCAGACACGAGGTACGCGCGATACGAATGAAACGGGAGAAACGATTCACGTTGAACGTTTTGCATTTTATTGGATATTCCCAACGTTATCAGATACCTTCTATTTATTTATTTCGACGTTCGCCGACGTAACAGACGCTACAGACTTGCTACATTAATAATTATCCGACTGCAGATCTTGCCGCGATAGAAAAATTGCGGCTGCGTTAATTGCAAGATAATTAACCCTTTGCGAACGAGGATCTTCCAAAGTGCCAAGAAGCTTCTTCTCGGGGAATATTATGTATCGAAGACTTAAATAACGGTAAGAGCTATACGTTCGAATCTTTTGCTAAGCACTTGATCGAATAATGTTGTTTGCAATTTCTGGAATAGGAACTACAGTACTATGTCGTCAATACGTCGACATTCAAAGGGTTAAAGGACGTACATTTACCGAGAAAAGTTAAGAAATATGTTATTTCTTAACTTTTTATAAGAAATAACTTATTATATAATCTTACTATACTTACAATACTATATAATCTTAATTTGATATTCTAGGTCGTAGTAAACCTTCGTAACATAACATTGATTTTATTCTTTCATAATTTTCTAATTTCTCATTTTTATTTGATTTTGTATTTTTACTTTTTTTTTTGTATGTTTCCCTCTATCGGTTGTATGCACTAAGTCAAACAATATTGCAACATGAACGATGTGTTACTTACTAGTTTCTCTGAAATATGTGCTTTTAATTTAATACGATGTACAATCGAATTTCATTCAAATGTTAACGATACGTAAAGTTTGTTGACTTCTGCTGGTAAGTGTAATCGCGTCGACGACTTGAAACTCGACGCAGCTTGATTTCTTCGAACGTTTTCGCTGTCGTGTATTCAACAAACCCATTCTTGCTATCAGCCGCATGGCTTATTTCTAAATATTGCGTATATTTTCGCTTTCGTGGCTTGTGCGTTGAAATAAATATAACTCTCGTTCTTAAATAAACGTATAAAGTTCCTTCTTTTTTCGTGATAATTCCAACGTCAGTCTATAACGCGTACAGCAATGAGCACCGTAGAATTAAGAGCGCCCTATAGCAATCGTGTCTCCTTCGCAAAACATTTTTAGTTTCCGCGAACGTTTCTTCGGTGGCTTATAAAACACGACGGGCCCTTTCATCTTAAAGTTGGCTTAAAGGAACTAACCAGATCATACAGTACGGCTTCTAGATCTTTAAAAGATCCGAGGTCTTTGCACCGTTCCCTCTTCAAGCAATAAATTCGATTACAAACGTAAACGTTCCGCTAGCTTTATTGCTGCTCGAGATAAAGATTATGGAAGCCATATCGGCTACAATATTTATTGAAACTTTAATCGCGTTACGGCGACTCGATTCGCGAAGCTACGGGTATACCGCCGACACAGAGTCGCCTATTTTATAGAGTTTCATTTTACAAGCGATATAATTCACTTCGCCGACAGCGATCGGTCTTTTAATTTCCCTTTTGTTTCTTTATCTCCTTCTTCTTACCATTTTAATCTAAGCTGTATATATATAGCAAGCAATCTGAGATCTTGGAAACTTCATCCCGTCTTTTACGTCGTATTTTCCAACGGTTTGAACCCCACCTGATGGAACAAGTTCTCGCGAGCATGATAAAATAGAGCAAAGAAGTCACGTGGAAGAGAGTAACGATACGGCCTGCAGCAAATAGACTCAAGTTCGATCGATCCCAACTATCGGATAGTCCGATGAGTTCGTGCCGCGAATACGCTTATGTCATACGTAATGCGTCGCATAAACCAAAAACCGACGAGCGACCAAAGTAACTACAGGGTGTTTCCACTCGCACCGGAGGGTATGTCAACACCATTTCAAACGGAATCACTTTTTTCGAATTGGTCCGAACGACTTGAATCTCTTTCAGACGTTACACCTTTCTGAAAATAACAGATTTTCAGTAAAAACAGCAAATAATTGTTACACCTTTCAGCGGCTGCAGCTTGAATACGCATCGATTCGATTTCGATGAAATTTTCATCGTATACAGGGTGGGGCATTTTAAACAGGTCACCCGAATAACTCGCTTGTTTTTGAAGATAGGAGAAAATGCATTAGACCAAACTTATTTGGTGTCGGGGGGCTCATATATATATATACTAAATGTCATATGGTCATAGTGTTGCGGTCGTTGCATTGGACTTGATCTTAGCTTTTACATTATGACGATAAAAATTGCACACAAGTAAATAGATGACATTATTTTTTGATTAGATTTATAAACAAATTTGTGTGATTATTTGCCATTTTACTGTATTTTAGCTTTCCTTTTCTGTGTCACTTTGGGTAACCTTGAATGACCTTCATAATAGTTCATTGTATTCGCCTCGAAACACTCAATCAGAATGTAAGTAAAGATACTTACTGTTCCATTTAAAAAAACAGAATTGACCTTCGTATCTCCTCGACGCCTCCACCTACAGAAAAATTGGTAATACCAGATTATATGAGCCCCCCGATACCAAGTAAGTTTGGCTTAATGCATTTTCTCCTATCTCCAAAAACAAGCGAGTTATTCAGGTGACCTGTTTAACGTCCCAATCAATTGCGATCTAAACAAATTGTCGTATGCTAATCCTCCGAACAAACCAATCGGTCGAACGTCTCTCGACAAAATTCAAGTCGTTCGGAACAATCTCGAAGAAGTTCTTCCGTTCGAAACGGGCGTTAACATACGGCGCGAGCATAAGCGGTAACGTCGAGTTCGAAAGCGGCATTCGAGGTGGCCACTTATGGATTACAAATTTGTTGATCTTTCAATAAAAGATACGAAGCTTTTATTGAAACCGATTAATAGATCATTTTCGTTTAAACCGATTAATAGATTTACACCGATTTAATGGAATACGAAGATTACACAGATACGATCAATCTTGAATGTGTTCGCGACGCGATAACAGCCTCGCGCATGGTAATTCACAGTTCGCGATGCGTCCACGTGCCGATAAGCAATCGGTGTCCGTGGGGCAAATCAGCGGCGCACTTTTCGCCTCGCGGACCGCGATATCGATTAGACGGAGATGGCCTGGGATCTCCTGACCTTGACACGGGAACGTGTTTTTCCTGGCCGGCGAACTCTCGGATCGCCGAAGTTTCTCTCAAGTATTCGGGAGAAAGGTGGGCTCGGTTCGGGACGCCCGCGTTTCGGAGTCCCGTTTTCGTCGCGCGGCGTACATCGTCCGTTATCGCGGCAGCCTTATCCGGCTACTTGATCGCCGGGGGATCGTTTCCCCGTGTCTACGTATACATGTCCAACTGGTTCACGGAGAAATTCCCCAAGGCGTAGGGACTGTGCGAGTTGGTGCGGACCAGAACGAATCCCCTCCTCGTCCTCTCGACCCTGTCGCCGGCGAGGATGGCCGGGTACCTCGGCGGGCACATGCCCAGCAAGTAGGCCACGAAACCGCCGCAGTGCCATCCCCAGAAACCGGGTTTCGAGTTGATCGACTCGGCGAAGTACATGACCGATCTATGATGGTCGCACTCGAAGGGCCTGCCGATCTCCCAGCAGCCCGGCTGGTTGATCCCGCCGTTCATGTAGAAGTCCACGTGGCCGCTCATCTCGACCTTGCCCTGGATGAACGCGTTCGTGTGAAAAACGTCGACGAACTCGGCGTCCCCGGCGTCCAGCTTGTGGTCCTTGTCGACGGTGACGAACAACGGCATGGCCGGGTCCAGGCCGGTGATCCTGCTGATGCGATACGGCCGGAGCACGTTCGCGGCGAACGCGGGCACGTGGGCGCCGAGGCTGAAGCCGATCGCGTGGATGTCGGCGGCGCCCGCGTCCTTCAGCCTGGCGATCAGCTGGGCTAGACAGTCGCCCACGTGGGGCACGTTTCTCACGACGATGGGATAGCACGGCGCGTTCGCCAGACGATGCCAGTCCATCGAGATCATGTTGTAGTCGTAACTCTTCAGGTACTCCGTCCGCACGTCGACCAGATACGACAGCTGCATGTCCGAGTCGTAGCCGTGTATCAGGATCTTGGTGGGGTTCGATGGCACGAAATTCGTCTCCGGCAGGTTCGAGTCGGTCTCGTCCACCAGAATTTGCTGGCCCTCCCTCGCGTTTCGCCGGGTGTACAGGAAAAAGGTCACCTCGTCGTCCGGGCACGTCTGATTGGTGTTTACCAAGCACGGCCCGATGAAGTAGTCCTTCGCCGATGTGCCTTGGTCCAGCGTGTTACCGATGACCAGCGGTTGCGGTGTCTGCATGCCCGAGAATTGGCCGACGACGAGCAGCGGCAACAGCAGAACGCGGAAAGCTTTTCGTACGATCGTGACGTCCATCCTGGCTAGTTCGATCGGTCCGCAGAGCCGGTTCGAGGATCGAGGGATTCCGGGATCGACGTTAGGGCCGATTTCGCTCGACTGCCGGCACAAAACTAGCGAGCGGTCCGCGTTCTCCGCAGTGTCCGCAGTGTCCGCGGGACGGCGAACCGTTGGCGTCGGCATTGCCGTCGGCGTCGGCGTCGGCGTCGGGGAAACTTCGTGTTGAATCAGCACGTACTGCCTCGACGAGCTCCGAATCCCTAAAGAGGGGCATGCCACACGCGACTTGTCACTGATTAGGGGTGGGGGAAGGGTAGGGGCAAGCTCTGACGCGCCGACACGTTCGATAAGCGCGCTACCGTTCGATCGCGGCCAGCCTTGGCGAAGGTCGAACCGATGACGACTCGGAGCAGCAGTCGGAACAAGTCGGGGAGCACGTTGCTGCGAATCGATGTCTCGCCACGTGCCTTTATTTGTCCGCGATGATCCGCCGCGATAGAAACGCCGTCGCTGAGAATCCCGCTAGCTGGATCGCCGTGCGGCCGCCGGTCGGGGGACCGATGTTTCTCGAGCGATCGGAAGCGACCGTGAAAGCGGGCATTTTACTTCCGTCGGCGGGCACCGGCTAGAAGGTGAAATTCCCGTAGCCATTCCGTATGCGACTCGATAGCCTCAACTTTCGCGATAAACGGCCACGGAATATTAATCGGGCCCGAAAACACTTTTACGTTCGTTTCAGAGAACGCGCCGCGCCGCGCGCGGCCTAATTACGCGACTTCTGTCTAATCGGCGCACCTCCGTGGTCGTTGTTTACGATTCGATCGCGTCCCTTCCGTGTAACGAACTGAATCCAACCAACGGAACACAATACACAGTCGGGGATAAAACGATAAGACGACCTATTGATTCGACAATTTTTATTTAATATATCTCGGTATCGAGGTTCGTTATACAGGGTGTCCCAGGTTTTAATGTACAAACTTTGTCAGTATATTCTATGGCACAAAGTAAGAGAAAAATGTTATGTAAACATAGGTCATATAGAGCTTTATTAACCCCTTAGTGCACAGTTTTTTTGAAAAAGGCCGGCCAAAAAAAATCAATTTTTTTTAATGTAAAAAAACACAATTTAGAACGTTGTCTTGGCAAGAAAATTACAAAAATACAAAAATAATCAAAATTTTTATTGCAATTCTAATTTTCAGAATATTACTATTATTATTATTATTATTATTATTATTATTATTATTATTATTATTATTATTATTATTGTTGTTGTTGTTGTTGTTATTGTTATTATTATTATTATTATTATATTTTATTTTACATAATATTTTAGTAAAATATGTATTGAAAAATGAGCGAATCAGAATCTGAATATGAATACGCTGTCGGAAAGCGGCTCACAAGGAAGAGATAAGTCGTAAGTGATAAGTAGAAAAAGGATATATTTTATACTTGAATAAGTAAGTGTTACAGCTTACAATCCCATGTAAATGATAAATATCAATAAAACGATTGTTTTTTTTTGCTTTCACATTGTTATTTTCAATTCTCGATTGCATTCGAGTGTGAAAAATTATAGCAACATAAAGTACAACGCTGCTCGAATTATCTCGAGAATTAACTCGAGCGTGCACGTTAAGGGGTTAAGAAGTTATAACAAAAATTCAGAATAGGAATAGTAATCAACTAAAAAAAAAATAAAAAATAAAAAAAAATCTTCGATCGATGTTAATCATGTATTGTCAACAACGGTTATCAATACATTTCGAAATGTATTAATAAACACAGCTTACATAAACACACGGCATGTGCTGATCTATTCAAGCCAATGCTCGCAGTAACAGCAAGTTGATTACTATTCCTATTCTGAATTTTTGTTATAACTTCTTAATAAAGCTCTATATGACCTATGTTTACATAACATTTTTTTCTTACTTTGTGCCACAGAATACACTAACAAAGTTTGAACATTAAAACCTGGGACACCCTGTATACAGAAAGCTAAAAAAATATGTCTTATCGTTTCGATATCGAACATTGAATATCGATTGTTGATACTCTAGTTTACCCGGATAAAACTTATAAGCGAAAATAGTGCAAGAGAATGTACATGCGATAAATCTCATTAACTAGACTGCGGATTTTACGCGTTTATGAGAAAAATGCGTAGATCGAATCGAAAACGGTGAACAGATTTAAAGAATTTAACGATACTGTTGTATTATGTTCGACTCGTTAAAATTATTGAGGAAGGAAATAAATGTTTGCGAAGTTCTTGCATCCTGCAGTCAATCGCGGACAACTTTTATTTTACATAAGGATCCATAATCTGCTTATTATATTTGTTATATATGAAATGAAAATTGTCAAATTAATAGGATATCTTGTGTTTTTGTTCCTGATGTATTAGGTGTAAAAATTCATTCGGTGGCTTTGATACTAAACGATTTATAATTCTGGTTTGAATGTGAATAATGTAAATAATTATAATTCGTCATTTTATAATGTTTAAGTGACGACACTTATGGTTACGGAGCATCTGACAAGTATGTAGTCGGAACAAATATTATTAGTAATTAAATAGATTAGGATCACGGTAAGAAGGAAAGGTGGCCCGATTACGATTACCTCGTCGCAAAATTTCTGCGACGCTAAAAGTTTACTTTGACGAGAGTTTCCATCCTAATGTGACTTATTAAAATCTGATTTATTTCGATCAAATATATTTATGAGTTATTTCTTCAATTTACATGTACGGCAAATGTTACAATAACACTTGCTAAAAATCAGAATAAATGTCTTATTGTTACTTTTATAAACTAATATAAAACAGCTGTTTCTTGTGCTCCGTAAATTTAATGTTAACAGATACGAACTTCTAAACATTCGAAGAGGTGCAAAAAACGAATTCATTGCATCGAAATCGACATTACTTTTCAAGATGGGTCAATGTCATCGAAAATAATGGAGACTATTTCGAAGAATAACAGTGGCATGATTACTTTATAAATTAGTACTAAATTTGCTGCTAAAAAGCACCGAATTAATTTTTACACCTGATACATTATGTAACAAAAGTACACGGAATTTCGCGTTTCAACGTCCCGTGTATCGAAACACACAATTTGTTGTATTTACGTAGGCGTCACGGTCTTCAGTTGTGACGCTGAGTTCGATCGCGATCCATCAATCATTGTGTTTACAGTAAGAATACAAAAAAGGTTGACCGTACGGCTGGCGGCTACGCTTGTTCAATGTTTGTGTCAGTCGAATTGTAAACAGATTAGCACTAAGCGTAGCCGGTAGACGTACAGTTGAAGCAGAATGTTTTAGTATAATATGATAAATATAAATATAGATCTTATAAATATAAATTTGGATAAAAATATAAATTATAGATCATAAAATATAGATCTCTTGGACAGTCTTCGTTTACAACAGCTGTTCGTGTCAATCGACTTCCAAGTGTGTTCTGCGATTTTTACAATGGAAAAGGCTGACGAGCAAAGAATTTGTCTCAATGTCTGCATTTGTATTTCTAACGTCGATCTCACATCATAACTGGTGTGATGCGACATGGGTTCACGAGTGCGACATGCGAACAAGTCAACGATCTACGGAATATCGCTCAAAAGTCAAGTTCAATTGTTTTCTTTAATTTTGGTGGTGTTATTCATTCGAAATTCCTTCTGAATGGACACGTGGTTAACAAAAAATATTATTTGAGTGTTACGAATAAACTGCGGATTTCGTGCGTTCATGAGAAAACTAAGTAGAGCAAATGTAAAATAGAGAAACCATTTAACCCTAGAAAGATAACCATATGACAATGTACGTAAAAGATAACCATACGCTTCAGAGGCGCATGCTTTTCTAAGGCGTCAATTTTATACTAACAATGGATATTTATTTAAGTTAATCTAGTCATTTTAAAGGTTTGGCATTATTGTAAAAATAAAATGCATTTATATTATATTTTTTTATATTTTAAGTAATTTTAAACTTAAATCACTAGACCTCTATGAAAAATTAACAAAAATCAACAGTCTTCGCAGGCGCCTCTGCGACGTAGGTTATCTTTCTCGGGTTAAAGAATGTAGAATTACTATTGTATTATTTTCGATTCGTTAAAATCGTTCGGAAAAGAAACATGTATGTATACTGGGTGTCCCAAAAATGTCTCGTAATCTGGAAATGGAGGGTCCCTGAGGCCATTTAAAGTAACTTTTTCCTTAGCGAAAATGCAATCCGCGGCTTCGTTTACGAGTTATTAACGAAAAACAGTGACCAATGAGAGGCGAGATCAGCTGGCGCGAGACGGCCAAGCCAATGAGCGGAACTGGGCATCGTGCGTTCGTTGGCTGGACCGTTTTTATTAGACAATGGCTAAAAAATCATTGAAATGAAAAAAAGAATTAAAAAATAATATTTTTTTAATGAATCATGTGGCTTGTATACGTGCTGAAAGTTTCATTGAAATTGCTTTACACATTATCGAGCTACAGCGACTAAAAATATGTCAAAATTACCTGTTTTTCGTTGAAATCCGTAAAGAACTGCGATTTTCACGATATTTAATCGTTCGTAATTTATAAAAACATCAAGCAATTTCGATGAAATTTTCAGTATGCATATAAATTACCGAGATCAACGAAACTCATTTTGCAAATTTTCGTCGGATCAAAAAACTTGGAAAAACAACCTTTTAGTCCCCATTTTCAATCGAATCGATCGTAATATTTTTTAAAACAATTTTTTAACCGTTGTCTAATAAACCGATACCTCTACTATCCCCCGAGAAATTTAAATCTTTCTGCTCACTTATAAAAAGCTTATTTCGTTTCAAAAGCCTGCACGAATACTTCGTACACCGACTGTATGCAATGATATTTAATAATGCTCTAGCTGGCGGCGAAACGAATTCAACGACCCGCTGTACCGTAACCTTAAACCTTGAAATAACGCTGAAAATAATTTCGGTCACAGAAAACGGGTTCCCGGCCGAGCGTGCGGCGGATCGTCGAAAAGAAACGTCTCGTTGCTCGGAGTTTATACAAGTTTGCGTGACAAAGTAAATAAAAAGAAAAAGAAAAAAAATAGAAAAAAAGGAACACCGGTACGCGAGCCGTTCGCGAAACCGTGACGCGCGCGGTATTGAAAAGCACGCTTGTCAAATCAATTCGATGTGTAACCGGTGCCGCGGCGGCGCAACGGTTGCATTATTGACAAAAATCCGTTACAGAATAGCTGTTCG